TCTAGTGGCTTCCTGGTCAATCCTGTCCTAAAAATCTGAAGATGCAAAATCAGCCAATGATTCTGGCAGATCAGCCTCCCACATGAATTTTGTTTGAGTCTGAATTCATGAACCAGGGATCTTTCCTTTGAACTTCATTTCCTCTTCAGAAATAGTTCAAAGCAGTTGGAGAATATGAATGCCAAAATCAAGCCTGAAAACCACCACAGCCTCACTTTAAAACACTTCATTTTTCTCCTGAGAGTTCTGCTGTTGCTTTCCATGGCTTGTCAAACAACCCCGTTCAGATTTAGCACAGAATCTGCTGTTCCCATTCATCACAAGTCTCAGGACTAAGGCACTCCAGCTGCTCCAGGGCTATACCCTTAAAAGTGATCTTGCTGTGATGTTACAACAGCCTGTTGTTATGACCTTGGCTATTTTTGACAAAGAGATAAAGATGAAATAGGTTCTTGTTCCTAATGACAGCTTGTACAAAACATCCTTTCCAAGGAAAACTATGTTATCCATATGTATATGTTATGGATCAGGCTATGCCAGACAGCAGCACTATAATCTCTCTCCCCCAGGTGACACAGCAAGAAAAATGGTTTGGCATTATTATGCCAACATCTCTTTAATTGCACTTTGGGAAAGTACTGTGTTTTCTCTCAAAACTAATAACAAATCAAACACTTTGAAAACCGCTTTATTTTTTCACTACAACCTCTGCGTTTGTTTACTTGGAAATTTCTCAACCTGGCATGCACAATTTTGGAAGCTTTTCACTTTTAATTTGGCCCTGAATTTTCTTTTTTTTACCTGTTGCCCCTTTTCTGGGAATGCCCTACCAACTGGAAAGATTTCTGTGACCTTCCTCACAAAAAATAATGCTCATGAGAGTCAAAATGGTCTTCAATAATCTACCTGATTAACATCTTGAAAGAAGGACCACGTTATTCCTCACAGGCCTGATGATTTCAATTAGAGCTTTGTATAGATTTCACTGAAGTTTTTTTTTAGCTGTTTCTTCAAAACTAACTTAAGAAACACCTAAATACTTAAAGCAGATGAAAAGTCCTACCTGTGTAAGGATAAGCTTAAATTCTTTGCTGGATGGTGGCCTAAGGGCCTGTAAATACAGATGGCTGTGAGCAAGACCCAGAAGAGGCCAGGTGACCACCAACAGGCATTTATATCCCCACCACAACTTCAAGCCAATATATCATACTGTTTGAAGCTAATTGCTTTGAAATAATTGGAAAGGTGAGCAGGTAAGTTCACACAGAGCATTTGCAATCTTGCTTTGTATTTAAGAGACCAACAGTCCAGATTGCATGGACAAAACAGGCATGATTCAATAAAACAAGTTAAAAGGGAAGGGAAAGGTATGCAGTAGTCTTTAAAAAGAATTTTCCTTTTAATTTTTAGCATCATTAAAATACTGAAAACATTTTGTTCAAGAGCTTCTTTAGTTAATACCTCATTACTTCTCTTTTTATTGTTATGGTAATCAAGCCTTAATATATTGCAGCTTTATAGCATGAAATCAAGGCTAGGCCTGTGGGCATGGACAGATGTACAACAGCATGCAGTAAAACACAGGTACAGAGACATGCAGAGCTGAATATGGCACTGGGGTTTTTTATAATTGTTTAGCAATTCATCTGAAGTTATTTTAACCTTGACAACAGATGAACTCTAACATGTACCATGATCAGTCACTGGAAAGCTGCACTGAAAAGCAAGTTTTGTAACTGTTGTCTTATAGGCTGGGTTCTAGGAAAGCATGAAACCAAGTCTGAGCAAGATGATTAAATTGTTTGCATGACTACAGGCTGTAGCTGTAACTATTCAAAACATTTAATTGAGAATATTTTAGCCAAGGGAGAATGATAGTGTTGGGGAATTGTATTTTAAACCAGAACTTTGGCCCTCCATGGGAAATTTGGGCTCAGTGTCAGCATTCAGACACTCTCCAGGCATAGGCACACCAAAACAGAAGAATATTTGGAGCTGATTTCTGGTTCTGAGGTGACACTTGGACCTTGTGCTGGAGCTTTGCTAATGGTTGAATTTCACCCATCAAATCAAGTCAAAGTTAGATATAACTTTAGAAAGGTATAATGGCTGTGTCTGCAGGGTGTTGAAATGTATCTCAGGAAGAGTGAGCACCCTTAGATCTTCCCTGAGTAAATGACAACACACAACCCCCAGTGTCAGGGAGGCTCCCCTTCTCAGCGGTGCTTTCAGGAGAGATCACTCAGGAAACCATTCCAGCTCCTGGGAGCTTTGCTAAATTTAAAGGGAGTGTTTTGGCTGGCAATCCCTCTCCCAGTGAAAGCACTTCAAACAGCCAACATGAAAAGCAGTATGCCTGTGACTGCATCCAATCCCTGATCTGAGGAATGTATTGGGAAGTTCTTGAACCCCATGGGTTTGGGATGGCACCACTGACCATCAGCCTCGGTTTGTCCCGAGCACCCCATGCAGGAACATCCCAAACAGCCTCTGGCTCTGCAAACACGTGACCTTCACTGGTTGCCCAACAGTCATGAAAGAACAGAAAGAAAGTAGGTACAGGTGACACATTATTCCAGCAGAAGTGAAAATTGTTTTCTACATTATAACTGGTTAACAGTAAAATATGATTTAACACATGGATCATGTATCAGAAAAATGTAACTAACCTCAGTTGGGCAAAGCTTCCAGATTCCTCCTTTCCTGGAAATACTGGGAGTAATAATGCGCTGTATTCAGCTGAAATATGTTCCTTTAAACCTTTGAATTTAAACAAAGTTCCCTAGCAATGAAGAGTCCAGTTACCCAAATTTCTAGTGTCAAGCACAAAGGTGAGCAGCCCTCAGGGGCAGTAAATCTGACTTTCTCTCCTAGGAGCATTCCTCTGGGCAGAGCCTGTGGGATCAGACCTTGGGACAGGAACACGTGTTACCCAGCACATAACAAGTGGAATGAAAGACAATGGGCACTACAGGCCAGCAAACACACTAATTATATTAATAAAATGAAAGCTTAAATTTTGAAGCTAATCCTGGGCTATCATTTATAAAAGTTAACAGGGCATATTTAATTTAGGAATTGGCTAACACTTCTCTTTCCACCACTGAAACCTCATAAATGAAATATACTGGATCCCTGCCCAGTGCGGAAATAAAAGTTATGAATAATGTTTCTATCTCAATCATTGTCAGTGCTTTAATATTCCTAATTACTTTAAAAAGCTAAATATTCAATATAGGAAAAACCTTCTTTTTCTTTTATCTCCACTTGCAAGATTAGAGCAATTTAATAAGAGTCACTGGGTAGTTTTAGTCCACAGGACCATTCTGTACTTTGACATCTTATCCTTTCCTGGACATTTTTACACAGAATGAAGTGCTTTTTACTCTTTGAGTGCACATATGTATAAATGTGTAATCTGTAACTGTATGTCCTTACTGTCATAGTCATTTTATTATTATTAACTTCTGTTAATGCACATGCACTGTACAATACTCACTGGTAGGATAAACTAAATCTAGTACTAAGAATAATAAAAACATTACATGAGTTCCTGAGAATCTGTACAGTATCTCACAATTGATGGTATTATTTTTATTTTTTAAAATATTTTTAAAGATAGATATTCAATATATCACGATGCCCAGTTTTTCCCTTGTCTGCATTCCAGGTAATCCCAAAATGTTTCTTCAAACCTGGTAGTATGGCTTTGTTTCCATCCTTGGAATCATATAATCCCAGAATGGTTTGGGTTGGAGGGACCTCACTGATCATCTCATCCCAACCCCTGCCATGGGTAGGGATGCCACCCCCACACCAGGTTACCCAGGGCTCTGTCCAGCCTGGCTTGAACACTCCCAGGGCTGGAACATCCACATCCTCTCTGGACTAAAGTCCTTCCTCCCTGCTCCCCTCCCTTTTCTGCTGGAATCGAGGGGATATTCAGCAGAGCTGCAGACAAAACCCCAGGAACCCATCCAGGAATCTGCCCTGCGGCCTTTAGGCTCTGGTTGTGTTCACCCTCAGGCACATTTACCTCCCATTCCCTCCTGACTCCTCCCTCTATAGATCCCTTCTCTGTTACCTTCTTTTCCTTAAACTCCCAATCAATTTGGGAGAAAGGGGGGAAGCCAACACAAAACGAAGCACCCATTCAGTTTCATTTCACAGCATCTTTACCCATGCAGCTTTATTTACTTGTCTGATGCACAAATTGACTCCATTTATCAAGCTTATTGCTGTTTTGTCAATAATGTCCCAGGCCTCTGTTACGTCACACTCGGATGTTTGTGCTGCCTGTTCCATTCCAGCATGAACCAACCACTTCCACTCACCGTTCCCAATTAACAGAGTTTAACAAACACAGCCTTCCCAGCTGAAAGAACTGAAAGCCTCAAGTGTGGATTGATTCCCCAGCAAAAGGTGCAGAACTCCCTACTCCCATTTCCCTAACTTTGGCAGTATGGATTTAAGGAATGGATTGTAAGTCAGAGGAGAAAATCTGAGCTGCCTGAAAAGTCAATGGCAAAACTCCCACTGGCTTGAACAGGACAAGAATTCTATCTGGAGAGAGTGCTTTCCAAACAGTTCTGGCACTCCACAGAGTATTTCATGAAGAATGTGCTGTGTTAAAGATTTGAGAGAGAAAAAATTCTTTATAGAGCTCTATTATCTGTACTGATATCCTAATAACAGGACTGAAAGCATTAACAGCATCCTCCACTTCATTTCACATTTCTTTGCAAAACACAACCAAAAAAGTCCAATGTCATTATCCTGGGAAAGGGTATTTTCACATATTCATAGAACCACAGAATGATTGGGGTTGAAGGGACCTTATAGGTCATTTTGTTCCAACCCAATATGAACTCTTACAAAATAACCAGCAGGCAATCCTCATTTTTCCATTCAAAGCATCCAAGTTCTAAGGCCACTGCTTTATAATACCTGGTTTTTAATAGCAACACATATTTTTATCATATTTTGGTATCTTTACTCACCGCTTGAGCAATCAGTCCCTCCCCAGCCTGGTTCACAGTGACACGTGTCAGGAGAGACACATCTTCCATGCACACACTCCTCTGTGCACAGTGCTGTAGAGAGGAAACAACACACAGCATTGTAAACATATTAACTGGTTGCTAAACATATCCTAAACAATGCCTTAGAGAGCAATATTTTGTCTAAAAATATTAAACAAAGCAAAAACACAAAAAAAAAAAATTACTCACAAGATTTAATTACTGCTAAGTGACCAAAATAAAATATAGGTCTCTTGACAGCAATAAATTCATTTGTCACTTCAGCCCTGTAATGAAAAACTCACTCACCAGAAATTCCTTTGGTTAGCAGTTTTGCTTTGTAATAAAGTTTTTACCAAACTGACATTTATTATAGAACAGCAGCTTCTTACATTGCACTCAAATTGCAACTGCTCATAAGACAAAATGGAGCTCAGTCTTGAAAGTATATTAAGATCCAAAATAGATTTCATTTTAAAAACAGCTCCAGGAAAATAAATAATTTTACTCCATGATGCAGTGGCTGTAAATGCATTTTTGTCTTTTCAAGGTCAGCCAGTTTTCCATAACTACAGTTGTCTGTGTCACTGGTATAAAATTGGAAGTTCAATATCCTCAAGTTCAAACCAAGACAAACAGGTTGGCTGAGGAACAACTCATAGTTTTTAGGATTCTCTTTTCCTGTGCTGTTTCAGTGTCTGCCAGTTTCCAGTGTGTGCCCATCACATATTGAAGAACCTGGAGAGCACTGAATAACTGCTTTACAGACTGAACTTTGTTACTTCATACCTTGTTTCCATTTTACCACTGAGAACACTGCCAGAAACTCCTTGTGTCAGAGATTCAAATCGGATGGTTAAGCTGGAACACATAATTTCCATCTAGACCAACGTCTATGAGTTATTAAAAATATGAAGCAGTGGCAATGAGGTCACTGTATGTACATATGTAAAAAATACATTATTTAGATCATATATAATCTGTGGTTGTATATCCTCTGGTTTTATATCAGATGGGAAACGTGGCTATTGAGTTTACTTAACCAAGAATTGCCTGAAGATGGACTAAAAAGACTTATCCCAAGACAAAGATAATTCCTTCCTGTTTAAACCAAGGTTAGCAAAGCTGATTTGGGAATTAGCTTTCGGTTGCTGCAGTGAAAATGGAGCTGAACCACCCAACTCCTTTGAAATCAGCCAGCAAAGCTTCTGGAAGTTTCCCTGATCTGCAGGTGGAATGAAAGCTGGAGTCCTTTCGGTTCCCAGCTCCCTCCTGCACTAGAAGTTCTCCACCACTGCCTTGCTGCTTTGAGTGACTTCTGCTACACCTGACGCTCTGGTTGGACTCCCAGACTGGATCACACCTTGGACCCACACCCAGGTTGCCATCAAAGCTCATGGAAATGTTTTGCTGCCTGTCTCTGTTTGGGTCATTGTAGACCAAACCCACTGAGCGGTTCACAAAATATTTAAATCCAACATCAAAATGCAGGTGAACTTAGAATAATCCTGGGGGAAAAACTTTCCTGCTCTTTATCCAGCAGATCCCTCATGACCAGTGATTAGAACGCTGCCTCGTTAAAACGACTGCAAGATCTTTCTAAATTAATCATTTCCTTTCTACGTTTGCTGCATGTCAAAAATGCAATTTATTCTTATTTCATATCTTGTGTTTAGACAGTATTGCAGTGGCCATGAAATATTCATAGCTAATCTCTAGTCACTAATTGTCCTAATCTTTTGTGCATTTATTTTACTCGAGTTAGGCTTTCTGGAGACAGTGAAGCAGCCTACTCTACAGCTGTGGGATGAAATTCAGGATAGGATATTAGATAAACAGGATATTCCCAGAAAAATAGACAGATTTTCCTACAATCATTTGAAAATGGCTGGTTATCCAGAACAAGGAGAAGCTCCCATATAGAAGAGTCACAAATTTATAGGTTTTTATTCAAACTAGAGTGTGCTAAAATATATAGGATATGCTGGGATAGGGATACCTTGGGAATTGTGCCCTGCACAGATTTGGCTGGGAGTACATTTCTCATTGATGTGACATCCCAGTTTCATAAGAGATGTGGAAGTCACAACTGAGGTTTTGCCTGTAAGGACATTTGCAATAATAAATCACTCTAACATGTAACATGTATAGCATTTTTTTACCCTTTTAACTCAGCCACGTTCTCACCTCAAGGCAAACATTATGAGTAAGAAGGTTGATGGGGGACTGGATATTTACTCTTCCAAGTAACAGAACTCCTGTACATTACTGCTCTAAATTTAGTTGATTCCCACACAAATTTATCACACCTCAACTATGTTAACATAAATATGAAATAATAGTAACTAATTAAGCAATGAAGTTTCCTTGATCACTTGCCTAGCTGCAGTCCTATGGGAAGAGTGCAATGTGAGACTTAGCAGCAAGACTCAAGAGAGAGCTCCTCATTCTACAGCACTCAGTCACATGAAAAATATAAAAAATATATTATAAAGAACTGTATCCTTGTTTTCAGGTGTTCTGAAGTCCCAAATCACTGAAGATGACTATGTTTAATGAGCAATTAAAGATTCAAGTAAGGTGAAGATGCTTCTTGGAACCGTGGGCTCTCTCATCTCTGGTTGATTAATTGCTAAGCAAGTAGCAGCTCACTAGTGACTAATTCCAAATGTGGGGGTCACAGAAAACCCCCATTTTTAAACTGAGAAGCTTTGACAGAAGTAATTTTGTTTAAAGCAGCAAACAATCAGACTCCTGCACTGACTGATTCAAATTAGGCTTATAAAGGTCAAATTAGGGTACAGATCTAAAGTTTTACCATAGCAAATAAAATTTTGAATTTCTCCTATAAAAGGGAGGTCTTGCCTTGCTCAAGTCTTTAGAGTTTAAATTAATTTTTCATTCTATTAACATTCAACATAATAGGATACAATGGTCCCCAAGGCATTCTTCATAATACACTTTGTACAGTGGTTTGCAAATGATCCTACTAGTTAATGGAACTATAAAAATTACTTGCACATAAAGGTCAAGAAAAATAAAGATAAGTATATACTTTCTGACACTGTCCTGTTCAACACTCATCTAAAGGCCCCTGGAGTAAAGAAAACTTGTCCTAATGCAAGGAATATAATTCCTCCCAGTATAATAGCCCAAGCACTTCAACCTTTGGAATTCCAGACTTTTAATGTCTGCATTTTCCCTCGACCACTTCACTTGAGCAATCCAGCACTTCATTGATCAGTGTGTTATTAGCATTCTTGGCATGAGTTTGACATCAGTTTGTAGTTTGATTCAGCCTGGTAATAAAATGACCTACATCAAAGCCCTGCCAAAATGCCATCTTTGTCGCAATGTGTTTAGCATGAGTTATTTGCCCACATTCAAGGTTACACAGCAACTGCTTCTTATCATGCAATAAAGGCAACAAAAGGGGTCTGTAACAATCCATTTGATGCTTATCACTTACTTTATAATTACAGACTGGGCTTTTTTTAACATATAAGGGCAATCCTCAGGGAAATAGACCTAAAGATTAAACTCTTTTCACACCTAAAACGGCTGCACTGAGGAATGGATGTTAGAGAAATGGATTCCTCTAACACTAGTGCTTATTCTTTAATTGTTGCCCAGAATTTGAATTCAGATATGATAAATGGTTTGTCTGTGTCTCCTCTCCACGAAGATGTGAAGTGCCCAGAATATTGCAATGAGGAGAAGAGCTCAGTGGAGCAGACTGCAGAATATTTCCACTGCAGAGTTCCTTCAGCTAAGGGGCACCACAGGGAGCTCATCCCAGACAAAAGCAGGGATGGAGAGTTTTTCTGTCTTCCTTGATGCTGCATTCCTGTGTATGGACCCAAATTATGATGTTACAGGGTTTAATTTGGTTGTTACACGCTCACACCCTGCTCATCACATCATCCACCCCACTGACTCCTGGCACCCACTGAGCTCCACAACCAGCCTTTAGAGGCAGAGGTACTTTTAGGGAAGAGTTTCATCCTAGGGGAACAAGTATGGAGTGACTAAGTTGAAAAATTTTCGTTGTCCAAAAATATAACCTGTATATTTATTTCACAAAAGACAGAGTCACAAACAACCTAATTTGTGCTTGCACTGGCGTGTGGTAACATTTGTGGTGGTCCTTAGAACCTGTGGGAGTTCACAGCTACCGACCCAGCAACTCCCATCTGCCATTGTCCCACTTTGCCGTGCCAGACAATCAAAATCTCTCCAAAACAAAGAGCAGGGTAATTACAGAGTGTGAAGGACCCAGAGCAGAACAGAAATGAGGCTCTGGGAGCTGTGCTCGCTCACGGCAGCGCCGTGCCCGAGCATTCCGTACACGCTGGAGTTTCCTGGGCTCTGTGGGATTCCTGCCCAGGATCATAGAGCAGCCAGGAGGTGACAGAAAACATAAATAACTGTAGATACATTATGATAATGGAAAACATTGCTAAATGGAGATATGGATGCTGCTATGAGACACAATGAGAAATTCAGGCACTCGCCTGGAACTGCACAGAATGAACTGGTTTATTTGGACTGCACACATGGCACAAGGTCATTGCCTCAAAATATCTTCTTTTCTCTGTCTTACCTCTGCCAGGTTTTCTTCACTATACACCGATCTTGCCCAAACTCTGACCAATTTCATTTATTTTCTGTGAAGCAATGGTAAGCCTGCATTTTTTCTTTTATGTTGCTGGTATTTTAACTTCAGATTATTTAATCAGCTTGCCCCATGCTTGATAGTTGTTAGGCTAAACAAAGCAGAAATTTAATGGAAAAAGTGATGTTTTCCTTCAATATTTAATACATGTGTCTAAAGTAATTCGGGCCATTTTAGACCATTCCACCATTCCCTTGTGCCACTTTTAGGGTAAAGAGTGATTTTGTTAGGTGAAATAGCTGTTACCCTATGGCCAGTGGTTTCAGATAATGCAGAGAGGTCAAAGTAGATGAAAAAAGATGAAAAAGATTCTTGCTCCTTATCCATTAGGAATCTGTTCACTCAGGGCCTCTCTGGTGCTTCCATCTTAATGTACTGGCCTGGGTCCAGCTTGTGC